CAGGGTAGTGGGGTCAAGCCCCACATCAGGCTCTCTGCTCAGCAGGGACTCTGCTTCTCTCTCTCTCTGCCCCTCTCCCCTCATGCTTGCTCTGTCTCTCAGAAAAATAAAATATTTTTTAAAAAAGGAATGGCTTTCTAGTTTATAAATTATCTAAATTTTTTTAAAATTGCAGACTTATAGAAATTGTGAGACACTTGTGAAATCTGAATAATTTGAGAAAGAACTTTTCATTGTATTAATCACACTGAGCTCCCTTTTTTTTTTTTAAGTTTATTTCTTTATTTTTTAGTAATTTTTACATCCTACGTGAGGCTCAACTTCACAACCCTGACATCAAGAGCTGCATGCTCAGCCAACTGAGCCAGTCAGGTGTCCCTGAGCTCCCTTTTTTAATACAGACCAATACTTAGCTCTCTTTCTAAGGGGACACAATTCAGTAGAACACTGAATCTAACTGGATGTCATTACACACTCTATTTAATTTTAAACAATAACCAATTGGTTTTTAAAAGTTTTATAGCTTTTCTTAACCATTTACTATAGTATTTGCATGACTAACATGTTTTTAACAATTAGATGTCTAAGATTCATCTCTTTAATGTGACAACCAGATAATGGAGCCATATGAGTTTTAGAAATAGGCTCCATTTCTTCCAGTTGCAAGCACAAAGTTTTAGAAGGAGAGTTTCAATATCTGCTTATTTTATGTATACTTTACCTTATTTCAAAAAAAGATTCGAGGACACAGAACATGTGTTTAGAAAAAAAAAAACATTCTTCAATAAAGTACAGAATGTTAGCACACTATTTTAACTAAAATATTGTTGCCAGTGTCCTTTAGCTTTCCTCGTCAAAATGCTGAGATATCAAGTTTGCAATTTCATTAATACAGTGAGGGGGAGGGGCACAAACCCCAGTTCTCTGCTGAAAATTACTCATTAAACTGAGAAATATCTTTATTTTGGGATGCTTGGGTGGCTCAGTGGTTGAGAGTCTGCCTTTGGCCCAGGGCATGATCCTGGGGTCCCACAGGAGGGTCCCGATGGATCCTTGAGTGCCACATCAGGCTCCTTGCATGGAGCCTGCTTCTCTGTCTGCCTATGTCTCTGTCTCTCATGAATAAATAAATAAAATCTTAAAAAAAAAAAAAATACAAAGCCTCTCCATTGTACTTCAAGCTAAATGTTTGCACTATTCTCAAACACCAAAAAGTATTTAGAGAAAATTTTGCTGTTCATCATTAAACACAAAATAAATAACCTAAAACAACTGTGGAGTTGTCTCAAGTCTAACAGCACAGGTTACTTGGAATATTAGGCCACAAAGCTACAATTATATATTATATTATACTATATTACATATAATATATACACAAATACATATATTTATGTATAACTGTAACAATGCAGCCTAATATATATTAATATAATATATATATAATGATAAAGTCACAAGTGTGACTTTATATAATTGAGGGGGTATATCATAGTCCTATGTTGAAAGAAGTCAAAATTCTCCTGTAAACTTAATAAATCCAATTTAAAAACAAGATTTAAAAATTGCAATTAAAGAGACATCTGGGTCGCTCAGCGGTTGAGCGTCTGCCTTTGGCTCAGGGCGTGATCCTGGGGTCCTGGGACCAAGTCCCCGGCTCCCAAGATCGAGTCCCACATCGGGCTCCCTGCACGGACCCTGCTTCTTCCTCTGCCTGCGTCTCTGCCTCTCTCTCTGTGTCTCTCATTAATAAATTAAATCTTTAAAAGAAAATGTGTAAAGGCAATAAAGTTTGCAAAAGAATGAGGGGCTTTCCTTACCAATAATAAGGTCATAAAACTTCATTAATTAAAACAGTGAATACTAGTACAAGATTAGATCAATGAAACAGCACTGGGAATCTTTAAATATATACAAGTATACAGAAGAATGTAGTCCATTATAAAGACAGTATTTCAGAAATGTGGAATAATCAAATAATAATTCACAAAGTGATTTAGGGACAAGGGGCTAAATATTTAGGTGAATCTAAAATTTTTTTTATTTATTTTTTATTTATTTATGATAGTCACAGAGAGAGAGAGAGAGAGAGAGGCAGAGACACAGGCAGAGGGAAAAGCAGGCTCCATGCACCGGGAGCCCGACGTGGGACTCGATCCCGGGTCTCCAGGATCGCGCCCTGGGCCAAAGGCAGGCGCCAAACCGCTGCGCCACCCAGGGATCCCTAGGTGAATCTAAAATTAAGGCTCTACCTAGCTCTCATCACATAACAAGGTAAGATCATGAGTACATTAAAGGATAAAAGGTAAAAAAAAAAAAAAAAAAAGAAAATTCAAATTACTAAAGGAAAACAGACATTAACTATATGTGTATACAAGTTAGAAACATTAAAAAAAAAAAAAAGTCCTGACAATCCAAAACACAGGCACATATACTTTTCTCCAAGTTAAATATATGAACATAGTTGAAAAACAAAAAACAAGAAAACACACTGTGGGGAAAAAAACTGCAACCTATCACAGAAAAACAATTTCATATCAAAGATGATTAATGGAGCAATAAACTGCAGCACAAAAGATTATGAGTATGTAATTTACAACTAGATAAAACTAGCATATCCATATACAAAAAAATGTTCAATGGAACCAGTAATTAAAGGAATGAAAATAAAAAACAGAACAGTGAAGAGCCCAATACTTAGTAAGGGGAAGTGAGCACCATCAAACAGCGTTACCAGGACTATAAATAGGTACAACTTTTTATAGGGCAATATGTATCAAAGTTGGTGGGTTGTTTTTTTTTTATGGTTTTTATTTTTTTATTTGAGAGAGAGCTGTCACAAAAGCAGGGATGGGAGGGGCAGGGGCAGAGGAGAAGAGGACTCCCTGATCAGCAGGGACGGGACGCTGAGCTCCATCCCATGACCCCTAGATCATGACCCGAGATGAAGGCAGACACTCAACCTTAACTGAGCCACCCAGGCGCCCCTGTATCAAAGTTTAAAATGTGCAGGCTTCTGGCCCAATAATTCTTCTTTCAGGAATGTAAACTAAGGAAATCCTCTCTCAAAGATGTACCCGTATGAATTCACCACAGTATTGTTTGTAATCTTGATGAAGTGAACACCTAAATGCCAATTAATAACAATATATATTAGTACCTCATAAGTGAAAATGCCATGCATCTATTTTAAATGATGCAGAGATCATATATTTATTGACATGGGGAAAAACGGTCATGACACTTTACATGGAAACTCCCTGTGAGTGGATTGGGCAAACCCTGGACATCTTGTTCTCCAACCTTATTTCCAGCACTTAGAATAGTGCCTTGTACAAAAGAGCTTCCCAGAAAGCACTTACTAAATAGATTAATTTTAAAAGCAGGCTACAGAATAACCATAATGTCCAACCCCCTTTTGTCTCTCTCTCTCTCCCTTCTCTCTTCTCTCTCTCTCTACACACCCACATACACACACACAATTGCAAAGACAGTCACAAAAGGTTAACAAGGTAAAGGAGTTTTGATGTGTGTTTAACTTTATTTAGTTCTCTCTGTGCTAAATTCCTTATATAGAAAGCATTTTCAAAAAAAATTTATGACTGGAAAAAAAAGTAACGAAATTGATTTTTAAGAACTCATATATTTAAAATGAACTTCAGAAAGTGTTCGGCGATGACAGCTCACAAACTACAAAAACTAAGATCAGCAATACCCAAGTGGCATGTTTTCTTTCATCTGCAAAGAAATATCAGTATGTCTTCTACAATGTAGCATCATTCTCCAGTGCCAGGAAACTGCCACCCTATACTAATAAAATGCAGAATTTCCAAGAGGGAAAACAGTTTTTCCGTAGTAAAAGGGGGGGGGGGAAGCAGCAACGAATTTCTTAAAAGTCCTCCCATCTCTTCTATTAAGACATGCCCTCTTCTAGTTGGTGATAAAGATTAGTAAGTATAGTCATTTTTCTTTCAGGCTAAAATGCCAGTGAGTCCGTATGAGAAATGTGCTCTATTGCAATTCTTTCATTTCTTTAAAAAGGTAGATCCTATTTTAAAGACATTTTAAAAAATTGAAATCTCAGAACCAGCCACATACCTTGTCATGATTCATCCCACCACCCTGTTTTAGATCATCCATAGGTTTTATCACTATCTGAGATAGCCTTATTCGAATTTTTATTATGTCTCTCCCTTCCAGAATGTAAACTCCCTGAGGACAGGAATCCCACCCTTCTCGGCACTGTGTCCCCCGTGAATGGCATCCAGCAGGCCTCAAGAAGTATTTGTTGAATTCATAATGAAAAAAAAAAAAAAAGGTGTGTGGAGAGGACAAATCAAAATGAGACTATATACACCAAGAACTGGGAAAAAAAAAAAAAAAGGAAAGCAAACCACAATGAAATGTGGTAGCTGACATGACTCAAGGCTCTAACGTCAGCCCGGAGGGTTGGTGGACATGTTTCAGGGTGGACAGGTGCTCCACACCTAGGTAAAAGCATAGAGCTTGTTCCAGGAAGGAGCAAATCCACAGGGAGGTCTCCGGGTGGCTGTGTGCAGCAGCACAGAAATGTCGTCCAGGTCGAGAGAAGAACAGCAGCAGCAGCAGCAGCAGCAGCAGCAGCAGCAGCAACAACACACTACATGCATCTTGGCCCAGACGAAAAGCCAGAGGAATTCCCGACACAATGAAAGCAAGCAAGCAGCCGTCCGCCCGGCACGCAGGAAGAGCACCGTCGCCTTCCCCCGGGCCGTGCAGTCGCCCGCGGCCCCGCACCGCCCCCACTCACCCCTTCCCCCGCCCAAGGACCCCCGCCCCAGCCGGTCCAGGGGGAGCGGGGACGGCGCGAGCGGGACGGGCAGCGCCGCCTCCACCCCCACCCGAGCCCGCTCGTCTCCAAAGCGCGCGGCCTCCCACCCTCCCACCCTCCCACCCTCCCGGCCCGAGGCCCCAGGCCCCAGGCCCCGAGGCCCCGACCCCCGCGCCAGCAGCCCCTCACTCACGTGTAGATGATGGCCATGAAATGCATCAGCCACAGCACCACGAAGAGGACGAACCCGAAGACGGCCATTCCCTCCAGGGCCAGGTCCAGCAGCGCCATCCCCGGCCCGGCCCGGCCCGGCCCGCTCCGGCCGCCGCCGCGGACCGCGCTCCCGCAGCAGCACAGGGTGGGCGCCCGGCGCGGGGGCGCGGGAGCCGGAGGAAGGTGGGGAGAGGAAGGGGCGGGGGGGTGGGGGCGGAAGGGGCGGGCAGGGCCTGCGCGCCCCGCCCGCGCGCGCTCGTCCTCGTCCGCGCTCCGGCCCGGGCGCGCTCGCGGTGCGGGCGCTGCGGTGTGCGGGCCCCGCGCTCGGGCTCGCCGCCCCCGCCCCCGCCGCCGCCGCCGCCGCCGCCGCCGCCCCGCCGCCTCGCCGCCCGGCCCGGCCCGGCCGCTCCACTCCGCACCCTGCTCCGCCGCCGCGGCTCCGCGCACTAATCGAAACCGGCGGCCGGCGCTGCGAGTCCCCGGCGCGCCCCGCCCCGCCCTCCGGAACCGCGGCGCCCGGCCCTCCGAGGGGCGGGGCGCGCCGCTGCCGCCCGCCCCCCGCCCGCCCTCCCTCCCGTCCTCCCCCGTCCCCCGAGCCCCCCCGCCGGCCTCGCGCCCGCTGCGTCACCGTGGCGGGCGGGAGCGCGCCCCCCGGAGGCTCGGCCGGGCCGCGCCGGACCCTCGGCGGCGCCCCGGGCCCTGCGGCCCGCAGCGAGACGCGCAGGTCCAGGCGGCTCCACCGCTTCCTCCACCGCTTCCTCCCTCCCTGCCTTCACCGCCGTATCGTCTTGGGTCGCAACCGGCCCGAGAGCTAAAGCACCGGATCCTTCCCAGATCCGTGGGCGCCGCGGGGCAGCCTGTAATATACAAGAAGCTCTCAAACTCGGGAAGTAAGAAATCAGTCAGTACGAAGTACCGACCCTAAGACTCCTTACGCCCAGTGCGGTGGCCATCTGCGGCGATGGAGCTACTCCCATGTGGCCGACAGGCATTGTTGAAGACCGACTCCTTAATGAACTTTATACTGATTACGTGTCAAGACAATATTTTTGATATGTTGGGTCAAATGAAAGATTACTTAATGCCACTGTTTTGGTTGTTTTACTTTTCAAATGTGGCTAGCTATACCAGAAAGCTTTAAATTACATATGTGGATAGCAATGCTCTAAGATGTAAAGGGGTGGCGCACCTTGGAGAGTCAGGTAATTTAGCCTTTATCTTAACTTTAAATCAGTTCAGGGAGATGTTTTAATCCAGTACTAAATGTTTGTTTCTTTAGCCTAGATGAGTTTATATTGTTTCTTGATTGTTTTATGTTTAGACAATGTTTATTATTTCAAGTGATTTCCTTTTAAATAATCCGTGACCTCCCTTGAGAGATTCCAGAATTGAATTCAGTTTTGGAAAGAAGCTGGTTATTTTGTCGTTGGCTATTTATTATGTTTGATATTGATTAAATGAACTACCTTAATCTACAATTAAATGGTAAACTACAATCAAAGAGTTTAATGTCTGACAACCAATTGTGCATTCACTATGGGAAATGGGATAAAGTGAGTAAGAACCATGTTTACAAATGAAACTTCCATTGTTCAGTCACTGGTTAATGAATTAAAGTTATAGCGGGATAGTGTACTACCAGCAAAATATAAATGGAAATTTTTAAACATCACTATTGTAGTTAATTAATTCCAGGATTCACCTTTTTAAAAAAAGATACTTTATTATTTATTTGAAGTAGAGTGTGCCCAGGCAGTGGGGCTGGGACTGAGGGAGGGAGAGAGAATCTCCAGCAGATGCCATGCTGACCTAAGAGTCCCACCTGGGGCCTCGATCTCACTAAGATCATGACCTGAGCCAGAACCAAGAATCCTGTGCTTAACCCACTGAGCCATCCAGGACCCCTAGGACTCACTTTTAAAAATACTTTAACATGGGGCACCTGTGTGGTTCATTGGGTTGAGTCCCACTCTTGGTTTTAGCTCAGGTCCTGATCTTAGGGTTGTGGGACTGAGCCCCACCTCCTTAAGATTCTCTCACTCCCTCTGCCTCTCGCCCCTCTTAGAAAAAAAAACTTTCACACGTTTTAATCTCTCTGAGATGGAAACGCACCTCACAGTCAGTACCATCTTTTTTTTTTTTTTTGAAAGATTTTTATTTATTTATTCACGAAAGAGAGAGAGAGAGAGAAAGAGAGGCAGAGACACAGGCAGAGGGAGGAGCAGGCTCCATACAGGGAGCCTGATGTGGGACTCGATCCCCAGTCTCCAAGATCATGCCCTGGGTTGAAGTCAGCTCTAAACCGTGAAGCCACTGGGGCTGCCCCAGTTAGTACCACCTTAACACTACCTGGTAGATTTTTTTGTTAATCATATGTAAATAAAAGTGCATCTTACAATTCATGTCCTCTTAGATTTAGTAAACTATATCAATTGGTCAGTTAAAGCATTGTGTTATATTCTGCTTTTCTCTAAAATTTGTTTTTTTTTTGGGGGGGGGTGGAACTTACCATGAAAGCTTTTATATAGTATGATCAACAACATGGAAATGAGGCCAAGAAAGATGAAAGAAGCACATATTAAAAATTAACAGAATTGGTATAATTGAATATAATCAGTAGATTAAAGATCAGCTATGTTGTACTTAGGCCTAGTTAAACTTGGTTTTGTCCAAACCTTCTGTAGTACCTATAAAATATTAGGATTACATATTCTAAAATGAATACGGGTGAATATGCAATCCTAACACTAGAATACACAATCCTAACATTCTATAGATACTGTAAAAGTGTACATTTCTTCCATGTAGCAAGCAGCATAGGAGTCTAGCAAAGACCCTGCCCACTGATCTTACTTTTTGGCAGTTAACATTTTTTTGGTTGTCTAAAAGGCCTTCTCTTTTAGAAAACCAATTTCACCGAGGTCAGGGCTTCTGAATCTTTCCAGGGACAATCCAGTAGTATTAGTATATATTAGAATTCATACAGTTTAAGGAGTAATATTTTCAGAGACAAACAAAATCCAAATATGACTGTCATTTAATGGTCCTAGATATTTTAGATTATAAAACTTTAGCAAGAAAAGAATTAAAAAATAGCTGGTTCAAACCAAGTAGTGAGAATACATTTTTGCCTTAAACCAAACCCAAACCAAAAATATTAGCTGACCTGAAACTGAAACTGAAATGAAATTATATTGGTTCTAGCCGCATGTCCCAGAAAAGATAGGTCAGAAGGCTGGGAAAACACAGGTACATAAGTTACTTCAGAGAAACAAAATAATTTATCTTTGGAAAGTTGATAACTCTTGGTTACATTATGCCCCCAACTGCCTGTATTTAAAAAGTTGGTGTTACATTTTTTAAAGTTACATTTTCAACAATCAGAATTCCTGATTTGGGTTGTATCTATGAAAAACATTATCTTTGGTGAGATTCTAGATAAATCAAGATTAAAATGTGGCACTGAAAGGCTATGCACAGAAAAAAAGACAAAGAAGTTACACCAGACAATAGTACTTGTCTTTCTTTTTAAGTATTTGTCTTTGAAGAATGAAATGTGCTGATATTATTTACCTGCCTTTTTATGTTGTTGATTTACTGTAATGAGCATTATAGTTTTTATGGTGGAAAATGGTCATTTTTCCATTTTACAAAGAAGTTGATAAAAACCAAATAGAAAATTTTCATAATTTATTTTTTCGAATTATGAGTGGTATTAGTCACTTTGGAAGATAGTTTGGCAGTTACTTACAAAACTAAACATACTCTTACCATATGATCCAGCAATTGCATCCTTGTTATTTACCCAAAGAGTTAAAAACATGTTCACACAAAAACCTGCACACAGATGTTTATAACAACTTTAATCATAATTGACAAAACTTGGAAGCAACCAGGTCCTTCAGAGATGAATGGATAAATGAACTGTGGTACATCCGAACAATGGAATATTATTTAGCACCAAGAAGAAACGAGCTTATCAAGCCATGGAAGGCATGGAGGAAGCTTAAATGTGTAGGATTAAGTGAAAAAAATCTTTCCAACTATATGACATTCTGGGAAAGGCAAAACTATGGAGATGGTAAAAAGATCAGTGGTTGTCAGAGGGAGAAGTGAGGGATGAAGAGGCAAATCACAGAGGATTTTTAGAGCAGTGAAACTATTCTGTACAATACAATAATGATAGATACATGTATTCTACATTTGTCAAAACCCATAGAATCTACAACACCAAGAGTCAATTCTAATATAAACTGTGGACTTTGGGTGATAATGATGTGTCAGTGGAGGTTCAACAGCTGTAACAAATGCACCATTCTGGTGATATTGATAGTAGGGGAGACTGTGCATGTATTAGGGCAGGGAGTATATGAGAACTGTGAGTAATTTCTGCTCAATTTTGCTTCAAGCCTAAAACTGCTCCAGAAAATAAAGTCTATTTTTTAAAAATTAATAATACTCCACTCAAAAAAATATATACGTTGAAAATGTGTCTGAATAAGTGAGATAAACTAGTTTGTCATCAGACACTAGGGCTTTGCACCTTCTAGGCACTCAAAAATTTGTTGAATGAATGAATAATCTACATTGAGAGAAGTCACTGGAAAAATTGCTCACCTTTCTCCTTTGTTGGCAAATACTTTAAAAATACTTTTTCTTGGGGCACCTGGGTGGCTCAGTGGTTGAGCATCTGCCTTTGGCTCAGGGCGTGATCCTGGGGTCCTGGGATTGAGCCCAGCATCGGGCTTTCTGTGGGGAGCCTGCTTCTCCCTCTGCCTATGCCTCTCATGAATAAATAAATAAAATCTTTTAAAAATGTATTTTTTCTTTGTGGAAAAAAATACACATTAACTACCATAACCCCTCCTTCATATTACACAATTAGATCACAGACTGAGAGTAACTACATATTAGTTTGCCTAATCACAACCTGAAGACCTGCTCCAACGCCCATACTTGACCGTCAACAGCATGATTTTTATGTCCGCATTGGATATATTTTCCATCTTTGTCATTATTATAAAGAGTCTTTCATATAAACATTTTAAAAATCATAATTCAGTTCCCTATGGTTAATGTGCTATTTTTAAAAGATAGGTATATTGTAAATTTTCAGCCCTCTAGAAAGATTTTTTTTTTTAAAGGTGATCCTCCAGAAACTGGGTAAATCTGAAATTTTAAAAACAAAGAATCAATTGATCTGAAATTTGTGGTGCTAATGCCAAAAGAAACAATTCAATTCTTCTCTTTTTTCCCCCCTAAGCATGTTTGCAATTAGTTAGAAAAATGCCTCATCTACTTATTAGCTCAGGTGCTTAACTTTCGCTGGTTTTGTTACCCATAAAATGGATAGGAATAAATCCTAAGATACTATATATTACAGTGAATAGCCTTCAAATGCACAAAGGTTCTGGGCAAATTGTCAGTTCAGGGCCTGATCCTGACAATCCACAGGTAGAGTATGTTTGTATGTGTGGGTGTGGTCCAGCGAAGTGCCTGGAGTTCACTAGAGTTCATTTCATTCACAGCTGTTGTGCTCATATCCAAACAACTAATTAAAAAGATTTACTTCATACTCATTTTTCTTTTCAAATTTCATATTTGGTTTTACTTTAATCCACAGTGTGCTAGTGGGAAGTACTAATGTTTATTCTTAAAGGAAGCTAAATTTAAACTATTTCCAAATATGTCTCATGTAAATGTCAACTATTTTCTTTTTCAAATATTTTTTAAATTGCTTTAAAATTTTTAAAAACCTTATAAAATTATTTATTTTCCTTAGACTTTTTTTTTTAAAGTGATCTCTACCCCCAATGTGAGACTTGAACTCACAACACTGAGATCAAGAATTGGATGCTCCACTGGCTAAGCCAGCCAGGTGCCCTGAAAATGGCTTTCTTTTTAGATAGACTCAACCCTATTTACTTATTAAAGCTTACAATATTAAAAACTTCACCTAAGCTGTGTATGTGTATAAACAAACTTGGTAGTATATTGAGAGAAAGAGACAGAGAGAGGCTGAGACTTTAATATTTACTGAACATAAGAACATAAGTTATATACCAGCAAGTTTTTGAAATACTAACTTGATTTTCACAAAAGTCATGAAATGTATAACTAGAAGTCAAAAGATTAAGTTAGCTATCCAGGTGACACACCTGATAAGTGAGAGAGCTGGAGTTTGGACCTCAGTCTGTCAGACTGATTGTCAAAGCCAAAACTCTTCATATAAGTAAAATATTAAGTTATTTTAAACAATATATGGTAGATGATCAGTCCTCACAGTTGAGATTGCAAAGCAGATTTTTGTTTAGTATTATTTAGTTTGGAAACGAATGTTCTATATAGGTCAATTTCACCATCAGAGATGTTAGGAAAATATATTAAGAAAAAAATCATATATTTTATGCTGATATACTGGCAATTTAAAAATCTTGCTATTTTCTTTTAACACATCTTTTGCTTCAGTTAAGAGGAATCTCATAAAGCTGTCATTTCAGAACAATTCATCTAAGAGAGTAAACAACAAGTAGAAGAATTAAAAAGAACAGTCTTTTTCATAAGTGCTTTCTTCCTGTAAAATAATTCAAGGAAATGCCAATAAAATCTGCTTATTCTGGTATTATTTCATAGTATTAAAAATTT